ATGTAAAAGAGCATGTGAGGGCTGTCATGTGACTGACACCTTCAACCTGACACCCCGCAGGAGGAGCTGTGTCACACACAGCTGACGGCTGCTCTGGAGTTAAATGCAGCTGCTTATGTCGTAATATGACTAGTAATTGTGGAGGGACTCCAGGAACAGGAGTAACAATCAATCAATCAATCAAAGTTTATTTATAAAGCCCAATATCACACATTTTACAGTTTGTACACAATATGAATACGAATACAACCCCCTCTGTCTTTAGACCCTCACATCGGACAAGGAAAAGCTTCCAAAGAGAACCCAGAGTTAATGGGGGAAAATGGATGAGACCTTGGGGAGAGCAACGGAGGAGGGCTCCCTCTCCCAGGACGGACATGCAATAGATGTTGTGTATAAATTAAAAAGAGAATACATCCAAATGCTTGAAAAATGCATACAGTATATAAGAAGAAGATGAAGATGAATCCAGGTGGATCTCAACAATCCTCTGGGTGCCATTAAAGAGGTAGTAAGGTGAGCATCAGGCAGGACCACAGCATCAGGCAGGACCACAGCATCAGGCAGGACCACAGCATCAGGCAGGACCACAGCAACAGGCAAGACCACAGCAACAGGCAAGACCACAGCATCAGGCAGGACCACAGCATCAAGGTTCATTATGATTCTTTTTTTATTTATTTTTTATAGCACATTTTAAGACACAGAGGCAATTCAAAGTGATTCACATAGGCATTCAACACATCATAATTAAAGGTGGGGTAGGTAAGTTTGTGAAACTGGCTCGAGATACACTTTTTGTTATATTCCAGGAAATGCTCTTAACATCCCGATAGCAATGAATATCTTAAGTGCTTTGACAAAAAATCCATAAAAAAATGTCATCTGTGGAAGCCGTAATACTGTAAAAAGCACGACCAATTTAGCCGGCCCGGCTAAAATAACTGGATGGCCTACCTGCCTGTGCACAAACTTATCTCGTGCCCTCATTGGTCATGTGCGCGTTCGTGTGGAGGAGGGGCTCTGTAAGGAAGTAGCAGATTTCTTCCGGCTGTGTATTTTCAAATTCTAGCGCACTCGAGCTGGTTTCTCCAAAATTACCTACCCCACCTTTAAAAACACAAACACAAAATAAAAAACAAACAAAAAAATTAATAAACGCAATAAAATACTGGCTGTAACTAAAAGTGCAATGATAAGGCACGGTTAAAGGATCTCAGGATAGGCTGCATTAAAGGAGAGGTGTCATGGCCATTTCCACTGATCATAATTCCATTGTTGAGGTCTACTAGAATTGTGCAATTTTCCAAACTCACATTGGTTTCTCATACATCATCTCTGTAAACTACGTGTATTCACTGAATTTCACTCTCTGCCTTTAACGGCTCGTTGTAGCTCCAAAGGCTCCAGCCCCCACCCTCCCTGTGAGCACAGTGTGCTCTGATTGGTCGGGACGTTGTGAATCGTGCTGAGCTCCGTGGAGGTGTTGTTTCCTTGTTTAGGATACACAGCGAAACACAGCCAAACTCATCCTGAGCACACACAAACTCACAGCCGAAGTAAAAACAATAAGTGTGGCTTGATATTGAGTAAGAAAAAGGTTGATAAACGCTGTGAGAATGGGTCTGCAGAGAGAATTTCGCCGCGATCCCAACTGTCTGTTATCAGCCTGCAGCCAGGGAGGAGAAATCAGCTGAGCTGCCTGCTCCCTGCACACAGATGTGTGTGTGAGGAAGTCCGTGGATTGGTCAATTTGGACCAATCAGCGGGGGCTTAACGTAACGGCTCCGCGGACGTAACATAACGGCTCCACGGATTGGTCCATTTCGTTCCGGGTACGGGTTGACATCATGCCGTACCCGGAAGAATCAAATGGACAATGACGTATCTCCAACGAGGCGTTTTGGGGAGGTATTTTCTGTGTTAGAGTTTTACTCGCTATAGGGTGTACTTTGAGGGTTTTGACTGCACACTGTTTACATGCATAGAAACCTTCATAACACACAAGGGGACGGGTAATAACCGGAAAAGCATGACACCTCTCCTTTAAAAGAAAGGTTTTTAACCCTGATTTAAAAGAACCCAGTGCCTGTTTCCTGATAAATACTTTACCCTTTTTGAACAACAACAAAACAGCAAACATGACATATTTTCACATATTACACAGTTCATTCATTCCTTCAGCGTGGAACTGTAGATGCCGGGCAAGAGCTTCTTAAACCAGTTGCTTCTTCTCTCCTTTCTGGTGACCTGGCTCTCCAAACCTTCCAGCCGAGCGTTCAGGGAGCTCTGCGTCTCCTTCCACTCGTCCTCCTTCTCCTGAAGACTCTGCTGGAGGCGTCCTTTCTCCTGAAGGAGCGTGGACTTCTCCTCCTGCCACTGCCGATCCAGATTCGGCCTCATCCTTTCTTCAACCTGAAGCAGGGTTAACGTCCAGCTCTGCCACTCCTGCTCTCTCCCCTTGAGGAGCTGTGCCTCGTCCTCCTTGTACTTGATGCGGTTGTTCTCCAGCTGCTGTTCCACCTCCTTCAGATCAGCTGCTAGTTTGTCGTTTGCGTGGAGCTGAGCAGCATATGAGGCCTGTGTTTTTTCTGTCTTCTGCAGCAGGGAGGTTCTCTCCTGCTGCCAGAGGAAGCGCTCCCTCTCCACCTGATCTTGTCATTACCCCAAGTGAAGGAGTTGGGGTATCTCGGGGCCTTGTTCTCGAGTGAGGGGACAATGGAGTTGTGAGGTGGTTCGTGCACCTGGTTAGGATTCCACCATGCACGTCCCGCTGGGAAGAGACCATGGACCGGTTGGAGGTTTTATATCACAAAAACATGTCTTATACTGACATTCGGTTCCAAAGTACTACATTCACATTTAAATAATGCCATTCATATAGAGTGGCGAAGTCACGCCCATCTACTTCCGCCCCATGGGACCTTATTTCGGAAAAATAATGTATTGAAGTCAATGGAGAGAGAAAACGTATCTTTTGATCCCGTTTGAATTGTGCCATGAATTACACATATGATGTTTGTCAATCTTAAAAAATAATTTCCATGTAAAAAAAGTCACAGTTTGTCGTAAAACTGTTGAAATATAAGACTATGAAAAATACGTAACTAGAAAGACTACAAATCCCAGAGTCGCGTAAGTGATGTCACAATTGTTTTCCTCCACTGAGATAAGAGATTGCTAAGATCAGCGCCATATAGATAGAATCTATCTATATGGCGCTGGCTAAGATAAGATAACTTTAACAAGATGCCTGTGTGCTTAGTACCAGGTTGTTCATACCAGCAATGGGTCTTGCTCGTTCTTTCGCTTCCCGTCTGATGAAAGGACTAGGAGTGTCTGGATCAAGCTAGCTAGTAGCTAGCACGTTAGTTAGCATTACAGCCTTGTCATTTGTATTAGCCTTAACATGAAGTAACATTAAGTAACCCAAAATGTTAAACAGTAAGAGTAGTAGTCATATTTCTTGAACCCTTTGAAGAGTACTGTCACACCGGTGTGATCATTCTATAATACACAATTTAAGCCCGGGGGAGAAATGCTAACGCTAACGCTAGCGATCTTCTCTACTTCATGCTATCTGCACAAATGGTTGACATTAAACATTAAAACGACCAGGCAGTTCAGAGAGAATCAAAGGCAGGCAGGCAGGCAGCTTTGCATGACATTCTTCAGGACGTGTTTCATTGTAGTGATAGTGAGGGTAGTCAATCGTTTTGTTGACAAGACAGTAGTGACGGCCATCTTGGTGACGTGTGTTGTTGACCAGAGATGTAGTTCATTTAGCGTTCCACACAAACAAATGTGTTACTTCACAGTTTTACGACACATTTTTTTTTTTTTGACTTGCAAAATTATCTTTTAAATTGACAAACATCATATGTGTAATTCGTGGCACAATTCAAACGGGATCGAAAGATAATCTTTCTCTCTCCATTGACTTCAATACATAATTTTTCCGAAATAAGGTCCCATGGAGGTCCACCGGAAGGGGAGGGACTTCGCCACTCTATTCAGTTTTCTCCATAATTATACAAAGTGAATAGTAAAATCTTTTTGAAATTATGTGATTCAAATTCAGCTTCCAGTGACACATATTTCTGACCATACTGTGTATCCCATGTTCTACTCCGTAAACCTCTTTTTTTTATTTTACTGTTTGAATCAAAGCATTAACCTCCAACAGCTGACTCTCAAAAACAATATACAGTAATTGAGTGTGCCTCTCAAATGTCAAAGCCTCTTTAAATCCAGCTTGCGAATCCTATGATGTGTTGTATACGTTTTGATCATTTTAAAATGAAATATAATTAGTAATTGGCACATTTGCATTTTATTGGTGTTTCTTAGTTGTTGTTTTTTAAATGATTATGTATTCATAGTAATGGTCTGTTATCCAAAGCAGCAGACTGTTATTCAGAAATAACAGACCGTAGAATGCTTTTTGACCAATCAGAATTGGTTATTCAACAAAGCCATGGGACATAAATATATACTGTACATTCCAGACTGCAAATAATGTGACCACATAATCTATATAATCTGCTAGTGGTGTATTATAACAAACTATTTATAAAAGAGAAGCAATAGTGACAATACAAACGTTTGAAGACACACATTAAAAGCTAAAACATGCTGATAATTGTCATTTAAGTTGACATCATTTAGTTTGGTAGCTGTCTTTCTAATGGTGGTTTACCTAATGCAGCCCTGTCTGTCAGCAACTGAGCTGACACTTTATCTCTGTCATCAGTACCGCTGACTCTCTCAGCTCCTGATGGATCAGATATGCATTCCTACTGTGTTATAGCATGTGCCAGCGTTGATGGTATCGACAGCAGTCACGATTGTAGCACGTTAGCCTTGCCAAATAACAAGTCTTTTAGGGATGTCAATCGGCATGGTGATTAAGTTTCACTGGAAACAAAGTATGGACTGACATTGAGAGGAACAAGCGTTAAGTTGTGGTATCTATTGTTGACCTTTTTATCTCTCTGCAGCCTCTGGACTCTCCACACCACCCACCACCCCCACCCGGGCGCCCAGCCAGCCTGTGTTCACCCAGGAGGCCGTGCCGAGCGGACCTGAACGCCCCAATGCGAGATCGCTATCCCGCTCCATCTCAACCCCTCCAGACACAGGACAGCGCCTCAGCCTTCCCTCTGCTAAACCCCCAATCCCCTCCTCGAGCCCTGTGCCATCAAACTCTACCTCGCAACCAGTGAGTCAACAATATTACTCATTTTAAAGTAAAAATGTTTTATTATTTGTTTGTCTCGGGACAGGTTGGCTTGTGAACAATAAAGGAATGTGCTAAAACTCAAATACATTTAGATGTTCAGCAACGTTAACATGAATTTAATGTGAAGAGTTGTGAATGGAGCAGAGTCATTTCACATCATAGTTACAAAAGGAGAAGGTGGCATGATTTAGCTTTCATGGGGCTCAGAAATAGCATATGCATGTGATTTCCTGAAATAGGTGAAATATGTATGCTTTAAGTCAAAAACAAGACTGAATATGTGACCACATTTGAAGGTAAATGCTCTTTGCATCACAGTCACATTTTCTAAAAGTACTGAAAAATACAACATGGATCACAAGACGTTGATCTAATAACTGTTTTTTCTTTGTGTCAACATAAAGTCTGTCCCCGAGTCATGTGCTGCTTTACTCAGCGTCATAAGGGTTTACTGGGACAGTGGGGAACAAAAAGCATGGATGATGCAAATCTCTTTAATTCATGTGTGTCAACAGGCCTCTGTTTGCTCTGAGAATATAAACATTGTCTCTGCATTGAAGCAGTACCTCAAACAGCATTACATTTCATACAAAGTGGATGCACAATTTACTGTAACTACAATAACAACTGAGAAATAGAGTACAGGGTTTTGGCGCAAGGGTTTTCACTGTGGGTTTTATTTAGGATTCACCACAGCCTGAGTCAGCATGTGTTACCAGTTACTTCTGTGCCAGTTTAATGAACAATTATTTGAAGGTCCTCTTCGACCAGTCTGCTGTGAATGATTGTGATTTTTACAGAGAGGGTAAATCACTATTTCATCACCAACATTGTATACTGATACTAACACCAGAGGACTCATGATTTAGCTTGAAGACCGATGAGTCAGTGCCTGTCAGCCACTCTGTGCCCCCCCCTTCATCCCCCAGTCCATCATTCAAATGTAATCTTCTGATGCTGTAGTTTATTTTTTGCTAGATCCAATTTCAAAAGCAATTCATTTAATGGATGAGTGTATGCCTGCTTTCTTCCAGCTTGCTGTAATACAGAGTAGGCTAAGCTGCGGTCCCGCTGTGATGCAGCAGGACAAGATTTATGAAAGTGCAGGAGCAGGTTTTTGGCAGGAGAAGCGCTGTGTCACCATTGCAGGGCGACACTAGGGGCTGCTTAGCATCTAGAGCAGGCTTTCTCGCACTGCTGCAGTGGCTTGTTGTGAATATACTCACAAATTAAGAACCAAGGGAAAATCATGTATCCACAAGCACAGTTTTGATATGCAAATCTCTCAGCATGAGACAGCATTTTTTATGCTAGGAACTCGCCTATGTGCAAGATGCAAATAGCACAATTTGCATGTCATATTTATCACGTTGTTTTCTCTGCCGAGGCTCCAAAGAGTTGTTTTTGCAGAGTTAAGCCATGTTGCTCGTTTTGTCAGAAGAAATTAAATATGAGGATGTCACCAGGCATCCCCAGCTTCTTGCTGCTAAGCAACGTAAGGGATTTCCTAATATGGTGAAGCACCCAGGTTGCTCTGCGTGGAGGTGTGTGTTCCACAGAGGTGGAACTTCCTGCTTTTTGTTCACGCTGTGTTTGAAAGACTTTTCTGGCGGTACGTGATGTTTGGTAGATTATAGCTTTAACAAATATTTCAGCTCATTTATAGTGTCAGTATTAATGCTCGCTCTACTGTGTAGTGCATGTTTGAGCAGCGTGTGTAGACATTAGTTCCCCCTACTGCAGCAAATGTGTCAGGACTGTTCCACTTTGAGTTTAAAGGGGTGTGTAGTCTAATAATAATGTGCAACTGAAGTTTCTGCCTGACAGCACAATGTCTATGTCACGTTACCTGTGGATATTACGCGGACTTGATCAAGATTAACGTAGTCGGTGAAACGCCAGTGACGCACGACGTTATTTTATTATTATTTTCTTTGGTGTGGTTGTTTTGGTGTTGCGCACGGCGCACCGCACTCGATAAGACCATAATAGTCTGCTGGGGCCGCTGGGGAAAAGTCGCTTCCCCCTGCTGATCACTCACTACCCACAGCAAAGTTTGTTGGTCAGCTGCCGTGTGTTGTTGTGAGGATTTGCTGCGATCTTCACTGCACTCTTCTGTCTGTTTTACCTCTCAGGTGTACGGTTTATTCGAAGGCATGCTGGAGAAACTTGAACTAGACGATGATGGTAAGTGTCTCACTGCTCTATCTGCTGGTTCACTGCTCTATTTTTTTTGCCTCCAACGGCATGTAAAGGTGACTCTTAACGTCAGGATTTCATAGGTATTCCACCTGTTTCTAAGCAAAAAGTCTTATAAATCACAGCCGTCTGCTCATTTTGTAAGAATAACACACCTATCTAAATGAAAAATGTTTTCAATGAAAATACTATGATGCACTATTAATAAATCAAGACAGATACCTGTGGAATGTTTTTAAAAGACATGTCATATCTACATTTTATCATATTAATTAAGAGTTATTGTTTTGCAGCATGTGAAAATAACTATTTCAAATATTTGTAATACCCAGACCACATAGATGTTTCTGTTCAATGCTCATTTGTTTGACCAATTACTTTGTATTCATCCTTAATTCCACATGCGGGAAACCAACCCAGTCATTTTTCTAAGTGCATCATCAGTGAAGTACGGCCCTACTTTGTTGTCTGGGTTTTTCCACTGTTTCTGAGCTTGTTGGTGCTTAAAGTAGATCTTAATTATCCGTACGATGGAGCAGCAAAGTGGCTGTAAGTGGTCCGGACCCATAATGGTTGTTTAGGTTCTCAGAGTGTGTTGTTTCCAGGCTCTCATTATGTATTCCCTGTGAGATTTCTCCTTCCTCTCTTAAAGTATTTTCCTGCTTTTTATTCTCACAGCTGCTGAACCTGAGAGTGATATTTACATGCGCTTCATGAAATCCCACAAGTGCTACGACATCGTCCCCACGAGCTCCAAGCTGGTTGTGTTCGACACAGCACTCCAAGTCAGTACTGTCTCAATATAACGTTTATTGTGCCTCCAGACAATCCTTTATATTGTCTTTGGAACCGAAATGGGCATTCAGCCTAAGTTAATGTTCAGTAAAAAAAAGCCAGAGTATTTGCCTCGGAGCTCTTCTATGAAATGGTTGATGAAATTGTCATAAAGCTGTTAAACAGTAAACCTGAGGAGGAATGGCCTCTTTGATGTGTAGAGCTTAAACCACTAAATCCACTGAAACTCAGTGTTAGCTATCATTATCTGAAAGAAAAATAAATACTAAAACCAACCCATAGCCATCAAGAGTTTAGAGCATACTTAACAAAACACAACACAAGTCTCTCTTCTTCTACTCATGAGAAGGTGACTTAAACACAAATAAATCATAAGAGGATTATGATGGCTGTAACTAACAATAGTTTTTCATCTACTTTCGCCATTAAATTAATTGGAATCTATGGTATGTTAAAAATGTGTAAAGAATTCCTGCCACTAGTTTAGTCCAAGATGACATCTTGAAACGTTTTAGTCTGACAAACAGTCCAAACCCATTTGATTTTAAGTGCGATAAAACACCAAATATAAACAAAAAATATTCGTATTTATGAGGCTTGAACAAGTGAATATTTGCTAGCCCACTTGATTGATGAACTCTCAGGATTTTTGTTGATTCATTTTGTATTAATCAACTCACAGATTAAGTGTTTCAGCAACATCAAAGATAATCACAAATTGTTGTTAAGTATTAATCTAAATGGGTTTTTCATTTCAACTGTTGCTTGAAAGGTTAAGAAGGCATTCTTCGCTTTGGTAGCCAACGGTGTGCGAGCTGCTCCACTATGGGACACAGAGAAGCAAAGCTTTGTGGGTAAGAACCAAAAAACAGAAGAAGTCATGACATGTTTTATTTAAGAGTTTGCAGTATGAATGTTTTATTCATGGTTTTCATATTTCAAAGAATGCTCGATATTTTGAAACTGTTCAGGTCTAAGTTTAGCATGTTTTACAAATATCAAGTTTTAAAAGTTGTTACCTTAAGGTTTTTGACCCAAACAAGAGGACAAAATGCTTCCACCAATTTAACACAGTATACAAATTGGACTAAAAAGAGGTATAGAAGCCTTTAATCTTCTGTTAGTATAGATTTAACTTTACCCTTGTTTAAACACTTATTTACTATGTCTTTGTCCACCTGCCTGAAGGATAAGCGATATTAGCTACTTAAATGTTTGCTGTTCCTGCAAAATAATAAAGAAAAGGATAAACACTTCAACATGCAGCATACATAGTCTACATTTTAGTTTAATAAAAACAAAAAGTTCACAGTTTCCTTTTCTTCCTGTTCTGTTGCATGCCTGCTGAATGAACACAGAGGAATGTTTTTGTACTAATCCTTCTGGTCACATCTTTTGGAGTGCAATGCTATATTGAGCAGGAGTCAGTAAAGCTGTCACAAAACCATTAAACATAGCAATGACTTATTTGTATTGACCAGTGCTCTGAGTTATTTTACAACAACAACAAAAATCTCAGCAGCCACACCAGCAGTGAATCTGCTTTGTTGTGCTGGTTGTTTGTTATTTGCCTGCATAAAGTGTATTGCAAGTCAGCCTGTGATGAATAATGAATGCCAGGTCAGCATGAGGATAAAGCGAGGGGGGGTTGGGGGTCAGTTATGTGTTGTTTGGACCACGCCCTTGTAGTGGCTCTCTCTTCCACTGCCTCCAGGCATGGTATGTTGTTTATAGATGTGTGTGTTTTCATTGCAGGAATGTTGACAATCACCGATTTCATCATCATACTACACAGATACTATAAGTCGCCGATGGTAGGTAACCTAGACAGATAAACATGCGTGAGATTTGCTTCTGAGTCTTTCCTGGTTTCTTTTCTTCCTAAATGAACGTCTAATTTTACATTTCAGGTGCAAATATATGAATTAGAGGAACATAAGCTTGAGACTTGGAGAGGTAGTTATGATTATTCTGGCATGCATAATGTAAGACTGTATTTCTGTTTTATGAGCAAAACATACAATCCTTTAATATTTTATTTCTGGCTACAGAGGTTTACCTTCAGGCAACATTCAAACCTCTGGTCAACATATCACCTGATGCAAGGTATGTTGTCTGACCATGAATAATGAATCTTTCTCTGTTTTGAATATTTGTGTACTGTATGTATGTCGGCAGATTTCATTGCGTCTACTTTTAACTGCTAATGTGCTTTTTTGTGTTGCAGCCTATTCGATGCAGTGTACACCCTCATCAAAAACAAAATTCACCGCCTGCCCGTCATCGACCCTGTCACGGGAAATGCACTTTATATTCTCACACACAAGAGGATCCTCAAATTCCTCCAGCTTTTTGTGAGTCTAACACAGTCACTGCCAGTCTGTCTGTGAATACGTGTTCAGCTGGCATAGCATTTTAATCTATATAATCCATCATCGTGATTGCTTATGCTGGGAACTTTGTCATGTCATCCCCTCTTTCATTTGTCTGCTGCCCTCTAGTGGCAAAATGGGCTTTATCATATAATGTATTTCAGAGAAAAACGTCCTGCACAAACCTCTGCACTGATTTATTTAAAGAGTCAACCTTTCTGATGACATGTTTTTATTTGTAGTTGGATCTCAGGGGGAATTAATTCTGTGCATAAAAAAGGAGACATAGAAAGTGGTTTGCCTTGGTACTACTTAACATTAATACAATGTGCCTTTACTTAAATGAAGTGGGTGGAGAGTGATGATGTCACTTAACATGTCCCCGATTCATTGTGTGTGTATCTGTGTTCTTCAGATGTGTGAAATTCCAAAGCCAGCTTTCATGAAGCAGACTCTCGGGGAGCTGGGCATTGGTTCGTACCGTGACATTGCTTTCATCCGCCCCAACACGCCCATCATCAAAGCGCTCAACATTTTTGTCGAGAGACGAGTGTCGGCCCTGCCTGTGGTGGATGAGACGGGTAAGTCAGCGGCAACACATCAGTTTTGCCAAAGTAGCTTCTCCGTAAAGGCTGTTTCAATAAAAAATAATGTATATCCTCCCTGCGATTCGGATCCGCTCCTTCATTTTGGCCCATGCTACATCCTTCCAAGTTTGAAATTGTGTCGGTAGTTTGTCCATCATTTAGTTGACAAACCGAACTGAGACCTCTTTGTTAAAATGACAAATCATTATATTATTTATACTAAATTGCCTAAACTGACCAGAGTTCTTTTATATCCTCTTCCAGGCAAAGTTGTGGATATTTACTCCAAGTTTGACGTCATTGTAAGTTATAATTTCTACAATTTCAGCTTTTGGAGTGACAAAATACCAAATATTAGATTGTTAAACTGCTTATTTTTTTCTTTTTCTTTTGTCTCAATTTCTACAATGATGTTTGTGTAGAACTTGGCTGCTGAGAAGACGTACAACAACCTGGACATCACAGTGACGCAGGCTCTGAAGCATCGCTCCCAGTACTTTGAGGGAGTCATGAAGTGCCATAAAATGGAAACAATGGAGACCATTGTGGACAGAATAGTCAAAGCTGAAGTGAGATTTTAAAAACACAAACACGTATATTTAGTTACCCAGGAATATCATTAGGACTGATTTGCGTCTGTAATTTTGTGTTTTTTCCTCCAGGTGCATCGGTTGGTGGTGGTGGATGAGCACTCCAGCATCGAGGGCATCGTCTCGCTGTCAGACATCCTCCAGGCCTTAGTGCTCAGCCCTGCAGGTATAGATGCTCAGCATAGCTAGCCCAACCCCCCCCCCCTCAGCCCCGGACCCCGTGCTCTCTCCCCCACCCCGCCCTCTAATCCTGTCCCAGGTAGGAAAGCACCTGTTTGAGCCCGGGCTGGTTTTGGCCTGTAGATGGCTGTAAGGAGGCATGGTGCTGGCATCCTGCTGGAGGCTGCTGTGTGGAGCAACACAACGCTTCACTGTTGCTCGTTCAGAAACAAATCCAATATCTGCTGTCACCAGTGCATTGAAATATGTCTGATTGGGAAGTTGCTTTTTATTGTACTGCAGCTTCATACTGGGAATAGAGATTAGCAAATAGATGAATTGCATATATTTTTGATAAGGTCGTAGTTGAACAAATGGACAGACTGTGGGAAATTAAGTCTGCCAAACCTTGTGTTGTCTTCACATGAAGTGTAATGGGTAAAGGATGTTTTAATATCCTCCAGTTTAGTTAGTTGTAGCTTGCATCTAAGACCCTAATTATGAGAAAAGCTAGTAATGAGGTACGATTGGTTAGGAATGTAAATAAAATGATATTACACTCCACAGCTCTTTAAGTTGTAAGGCTGTAAGGCTATACGCCAAGCTCAACAACATGAACTTAGGTCAAAACTGAACCAAACATGGTGTTAAATGAGGTAAGAAGTATTGAATCAAGGCTAGCGTTAAATCTGTTCTCATTTCAAACTATTCCTTAATGGATTTTAACTTATATATTGGTGTCTAACTACAGCAAGGAGCACAATTACAGCATGAATAGGTCTAACACTGCTGAGTTGAATTTGCTAGAATCAGGTTTGTTGGCCATTCCCCCTTCAAGCGTTGATGTGTTACCAGATGAGGCTGTTGTTGCTTTATATTAACCCTGTGGTTCCCAGAAATTGATTTGTGAAACAACAAAAACAATGCAAAACTGCAAAAAAATTAAGTTTTCCATAGTGTTTTGAAATCACAAATGTTGGGTTTGAATGTTAACTAAGGGCATCAGCTATCCCATGGAGATGCTATTATATATTCTCCTCATTTATGTGTGGCTTTGAGTAGATGTGATTGCATTAGTAAGCTCTCCTTTGATGTGAAAATGTGTTTGAAAGCAACTAACAGATGTCTGCATATTTATAGTGGTAGAGGAAGCGTGGCACACAAGCGTTATTCCTCCTTTTTAAAGACGATGTGAATTGATTTTCAAACCAGGCTTTATTGAAATATATAGATCATTTATTTTGTGCAACTAAGCAGTCAGTTGTAATTTTTCATTAGGTGTAAACAAAGTCTAATTATGCCGTCCCTTAAGGCATCACAAATAGAGAAGTGGGCAGAATTAGGCTTAGACTCCTACTTGTATTGAATTATTGCTACTGGTTGTATCCACATGGAAGAGTCATCCACATTTGCTCGAAACAATGATTTATTTTGGGAGAACACATAAAAGTTTGCCTTAGTTAAGATTGATCCTGTTTTTAAGGCCTAAATGGTTTTATTTTTTCCTTGTGAGAGATTCTGCAGTGGAGTCTAGAGTGGCATGTCTGACGAGGTTGAGAATTGATGAAAACTTACAGTAATTCAGTTTTATGCTACAGTGTGTATCGTGTCCCTGTTGTGTCCTTACTCTTTACTCTTCCTCTCTGCAGATGCCTGTAAGGAGGAGACCCTGACTGAGTGAGAGGGACGAGGCATCAGCTGGAGTGGAGACGTTTGAATGTTGAGGAATGGAGCGAGAGGCTGAGCGGTGCAAAGGTCCCAGAGCCGCCTGCTACGATGCACTATATAGAGGCTCGGAAACCAAAGAGCTAGACAGCTGAATGAAGTGGAGTTCCTGCACGGAGGATTGATTTTCTGAGTGTTTTTTCTTTTTCTGGAAATGAGATGCGCACACACAGTATACTGTATTTATACACCGAGATACACACACATAGAGATGCGTTATGGTGACCTGCCAAGAAAAGGTGGCAAAGTCGAGACGGCTTCAGTGTTTTGTGTTGTTTAGCTACAATCATGCTGCTGTTATCAGTTGATTTTTAGTCACATTTTGATGCTACAGTATAGGTCAACACCTCTTGGACAACTTCTCAGTTTTTTGTGTAAAAAGGTGGACATTCATGCAATTTATTGTTTAGTAGCAAAACTACACTTACAAAATGGCCATGTGTCGTTAAAATCAATGATTGCCAGTGCTAATATGGAGAGATTAATGCCAAATCTTTATTTGTGCCTTTGGTTGCCCTGCCCACACACAATTTAAAACTGAAAGTATTTATGTAACTTTGCTTATGTTAAATAAGTGCAATTAATGTTTTTTTTTTTAAAGATATAAATATGTAATATTTAAGTAGTTGGCAACCTTCTACTTCTCATACAAAAAAGATTGTCCTTGGTTGCATTTCTGTGATTTTTAAACCATGTCAGAAGGGTCAATAATCTCTTTAAATGGATCTCATTCTAAAAAATAATCCTGATATTAACATCTTGACAAAAAAACACAATGGTCTGAGGTAAACACACCATTACATTAATATAATTATAATTGCTGAGAGCTATGAGTGAGTTTCAGTTGTTTTACTTCAGTAGTTATTTAAAGTCATGGCAACTGATGGATGCATTTTTGGAATGTTTTTACAAGAATGAGAAATATCTTTTTAAGATGTTAAAAAAACCTTTTTTTACATTTACTTTCAGTTATTTTGACGCTTCAGAGAATCTGATATTCGCAGACATGCAAAACAACCGGGTGGTTTTAGCTGTAGCTCGACAGGACTCATCTCCATCTTTGACTGTAAATAGTTTTCGGGAAACGTGTCACATAAAGCTTTATTTTTATGAATGTATCAACATGTTTAAAGAGACTGCAGTTTTAATGTTATTTTTGTAAATATATTGTGGCAATATGTCCGGTTCAAAGAGACTTTGTATGAGATCCACATGTACTGTAAATGGGCAAGCATGAGAAACTACACTTCAGCAGTATGAATGTCCTTTGTTTTACTTTTCTATTTTTCTGACTGCAGAAAAATAAATGGACACTGAATGTACTTCAAAGCTGTCTTTCTAAGTTGTTATTTGACTTTGGTTTGAACTGGTTCAAGGATGTGTTTCCATGGTCAAATGTTTCCCAAATGATGTGTCTGACATCAATCAAAGTCTCAAATCTGCCTTCATCATACACGGGATGGCTTTTAACAATATTTTGATAACATTTGAATATGGTGAAAACGCTGTCTGTGATGGATCCATTGGTTAATTCAAACTAAATCTAGTTAGTTTAAATAGGTTCAGTCACTTTGAATGGTTTGGTGGCAGCAACTTGATGTTTCAACCATTTATCAACTACTTTTAAATATCTATCTTGACTATTGGGCTTGTTTTTTTTATTATACACTAAATCACGACAGATTTAAAAGAGAGACTTGTGATCAAACAAGATATTGGGAGATGCCACTTTTCTGACCTTTTTGTAGACCAAAGATTAATCGGCAGAGAAGCATTAAAAGCAAGAATATGTTTTTGTTTTAAAAATATGTACTCAAACAATGTAGGCCTATTAACTGGGCGAATGTGTGGCTTATAAAACATATTACACAAATATGTTGGTTCTCTGAAGGCCAAATACACAATGACTAAGCCAAAACAATTTGAAGTAAGTGTTGCATTTTATTTTTATATCAGCCAAAAACTGGAAAAAGTAACTCGACAAAAAAAAAACGGTGTTATAGTATGTGTACTACGCCTACGTAGGCTAGTATAACCGTTTAAACATTAAGTAGTACATTACTTTTTAAAACTTTGAACTGATGGACTCCTTAGGTTTGCTGATCACCGTCATGATTTGTAGTTAGTAGTTTCACCACAGGCTTCCCATGCCTTTCCTGCAGATTACCATATTCTGTGAAATTCAGATGCTTGTCTCACAGATTTTCTTCATTACATGTTTCTAAGAAGACTCACTAACCACAGACGGATGTAGCAGTCATCCCCAAAGCAGTTGAGCCTTCAGCCTGGAGCCTTTTCTCTTCACGGCATGATGCCCTGAGGATATTTCAGAGCAGGGATGTACAACCATGTGCCAGAGAATAATCTTTTTTTAGCTCAACTCTGCAGCAGCTGATGGTTCATCATCCTCTAAATTTAAAATCGGTTTTGTGTATATGAGATACAAATCTGCAGAGACTATTAAACCCTGCTGTAGTGTTTGTGCAGCAGCCACAAGGTGACACTGCAGTACAGTTCATACAGTGCGGGGCTAGATAGTAAGTCACTCCTTCTCATTGCATATTTACATTCCAAAAAGAGATGAATTATTCCCGAGTGGTGCTTTTAAAAAAATATATCGTTTGAAGGAAATTGCTAGATTTCAGCAGGAAGTTTTTAATGTGGTGAAAGGTTGCCTTTAAATGAGGCAGGGGTACTGTGAGTGGATCTGATGGACTTCCAAATGAAGGGTAAAACTGGACCAGACTAACTCCAGACAATCTTCTTTGATCTCCCAATCTCCCCTGTGATACCCAGAGCTAGGGAAGGCTCCTCTACACCTTGTAGCCCTAAAGCAGAAGAGGCAGGAGGGCTTCACTATCCTCCCCCCTCCCCTCTCCTCACTGCCCATCTTCTCCTTTACACACACACATTCACCATCCTCACCGACACTGGACTCTCTTTTGAAAGTCTGGGGCTTAATTTAAAATTCCTCTTCAGAGCGTGTCATGCATTTTATATGCATGCAAGTGGGAGAGAGAGGAGGGATTGCGAGGGGGCTCCAGTCCAAATGAACTTCCCTACACTGTTGGTCTCTCGGGGATAAATCCACACACACCACCACCACCTTCTTTCACTCCTCTTCCCTCATTTTCTCGCACCCACACACCCCCAACTCTTTCAACATTAGTTTTACTGCATCATGCTTTTAAGAAATTCCACTGAGCAGCAAGAGTGCCTTAGCCTTTGAAGACAAGTGTGATCAGAACAGAGGCAGGGGGTGTTAAAAAAAATCTGGCCTCGGGGCATTTTGGGTTTTTGCACTCGTGTTTAGCAGCGCATGGAGCAGAAGAGGGAGGCTGACAAGTGCAGTGTTTGGGGACAGCTTTGATGTCTGGTTGGGTGCGGCTGCTGCGCCTACACAGTCCTTCTCAAGGAGACTGTCACGTTGACACAACCAGACTTACAAATACAGTTCACATCTGTGGATAGATAACAGATCATCTAAAGAGCACTGTTGGTACACCGCTCCATCTAAAACGTCTCTTATTGTCTTGCTGAGACGAGGCTGAGAATCGATAAAAAAGCAGACACAACATGAACTTGGACTGCAGCTGCTTGAGAAATCTGGTTTATTAGGAACAATATGATCCCGCTAGCTTATCGTGGATATAGCAGTAAACAACAGAAACACAATTCACTTTTTTTTAAGTGCTACAGGTTTGTGATTATAGACATAAAACAGTACAGCAACCATTGCGCCTACATTCATATATGTACAGAGAATATAAAAATGACAGTATATTGCTGTTACTACTCCTGCTCATAAATCACCTTCTTCTCTGTTACACACACACATCACTGGGAATATCACACACTGTGAGCTGCTGTAATGACGATGGGGTTGTTTATAGTGACATCCGAGACATGGTTTAAGTCTGGCAGGTCAACATTTTACAGATAAGCACTGAGTTATCATCTGAGCACAAAGCTGACAAGGGTTAAGCTGATATAGTACAGTAACACTAGACAAACCCTCCACAGAGAGATCATAACACCTCACTGAACAGTGAAGTGTATCCTCCATAAGCTACTTTTTTTAAATTACAGATTAATACACGTTAACTTTGGTTTTCAGCTCTCTAGAACTATACTGTAAATCTGTGGCAGTTTAAGCTGTAAGTAGAAGTTAAATTGACAGTATAGCAGCCTTAAGCCGATATTAATACAACATTGAAATTCACTTAAAAATGAAAAGAAAAACATCTTTCTCGTTATTATAGCAGCCAGGAAAAAATGTAGTTACAGTGTGATTCCATAGAATAGAAAAAAGTGAAAACAATTAATTTTTTTCATCAAAGTACTGTTAGAAAATCTGTGATCGGGTACCTCTCAATAAATAGAAAAATGCAACTCCTTTGCTGTTGTTTATTATCTTCTACCCTATGCTGCTATAGATATGGTTGCACATATTTATTGTGTGAAGACAGTATCTTTCATCCATGCATAGAGGACTTTTTTTTATGACGGAGAAAATAAAAACACTTCCAAAACCAACTTGCTATGTACAATACAATATTTTGGAGCCTGTGAGCGTTTCCACATTTTATATCAGACTGTAACACAAGACAAACATCGATAAAAACCAATCAATGACTGAATGCATTTTGCAGAGCGGGGAGAAGGGACAGCTCAGGTTCCAGCACTCGGGACACTGGCTTCAGTCCCAAACTGAAACCCTGCTGCCGTGGTATTCCACTCAGTCATCTGCGGCCAGACGAAGTTCTCTCAGTCCACGTCAACAAGCATCGTTGTCAGTGGATTGTAGCAGTACCGAGTGTGTGCTGGGCCTCAGCAGCTGGGGGACACGTGTCCACAGGGTCAGCTTTGAAAAAACCTGGGCGAGCTCAAACTATCTGACCACAAATGGGCAGAGTTAACAGTAAGAAACTGGTAGAAAATATAAAATAACTCAGTGTTTAAAAGATGCTGGGTGTAAATCTGTTAACAGTGATGGAGTCATTTTAGCAGAGGATTCGCATCGCCTTGCTTAAGGAATGCACATTTCAAATCTTGTCCGTTTGTGTTGCCTACTCCCACCCTAGAATCTGATTTACCTTACTGTTTTTTGCTGTGCTCAACATTTTTTCCAGTATATTCATTACCATATGAATTTTATGCAACGACAGGCTTCTTCGGCATGTTTTTCACTCCATTTTCCTCTTTTCCACACCGTTTTGGGGGTTTGGCGTGCTTACAAAATTCAAAACAGCACAAAAATCGAAGCGCTTTCAATCTCTGCAAATCATTCAGCAGAGCTCAGTCTCCCACTGGCCTGTCCTCTACATATGAAAGGCCAGGGAGAGTATAATGGTGCAGTGTGTTCAGAGTTCACTGGAGCTGTCTGAGGAGAGAAAGCAGTAGATGCAAGCCGTTTCCATTATACATTCTGAGCAGCTGTTCTGCGGAGGAAGTCCTTTGAAGGACGGCTGCAACTGGAGTGCGGTAACTGGAGTCCACAGTTCAAACGGGGTTCTTCACCCTAACAAGCAGGGGCAGGGTTTCGCCCCTGTACTCTCTGGTGTGGGGCATCATTGTCCCGACACCCCCATCTTCATCAAGGCCTCCAAATAGAGGTCCCGCATGAGCTCTGACACATGCAACGTCTACACTAACACTCAACATTCATGCTATAACTAGTACAGAAGCAGGCAGAACAAAAAGTCAAAGATGCATGCCACTGATGCCACCTCCTTTCTCCTCAGCTTTATTCAGCTTAGTGCGATATCATCTAAGCGGCCTCTTTTAAATACCTCCTTTCCTCTGTATTGGCCGTGCATCTGGTTCCTTCAGTTGTTTTGATTTGAGTCTGTTTTGACATGGAGGGGCGAGGAAGAGGGAGTTTTCAGAGAGAGGCCTTTGAAGAGAGCCAGATTCGGAAGAGTCTGATGGTTGTCTCTGAGGGGTCAGAGGCATCTATACAAAGTCAAAAGAAGAGGCACGAGGAGAAGGAGGAGCAGGAGGAATAAAGTCAAAATCTGGCAGAAACAGGGTTCACTTCTGTGTAAGGTACGCTCCGATGGTGAGGCTGGCGGCCCCGATCGCTGCCAGGCCGAACACCGTCTTTATGGAGGGCCAGGAGCAGCTGAAGAGGGACTCCCTCTGTCTGTCATACAGCTCCACAAAGGCTTCCTGGGAGGGAGACAGGAAGAGAAAGACAGACGGTTAATTGGGCTGTCAAAGAATGTCTGTTTACCTATGTGTAAACATACTTGCGTCAGCTGGTTATTTGATGGGTGGAGCCTAATAGAAACACAATAAAGATAAAGCTGGCATCCCATGTGTTCCTTCTAAAGGCGTTAATCTTTAGAAACAGGAAACATATTTGAAACTTCATTTGTAAAAAAAAAAGCTCAGTGATTTGTTAAAACAGCTGGGCATTGTATTATTTAACAAACATTAATCTGGCGTAAGTATATTGTGTTTTGTAAGGGAACTATTTTTAGTTGCGGATTAATACAGGGCTTTAGTAAATATTTACAGCATAAGGACTGTGTGTGGGTGTTGGTGTGGGACTGACTCAAAATAAAATACAATGCCCCCCCCCCCCCCCCCCCCCGTTCATTAAAACGAAGGAAAATGTCACTATGTCCAACAGTGTGGCTAATTGGTGTGTTTTTATTAGTTTTGGGACAAAATGGAGCTTTCAGGTATAGAGGAAAGAGCTTTTTCAGGTTTTGACTGCATAGCCAATACATTTTTGGTTATGGTCCTTTGTGCATTTGTGAAGATAAAACAATAAGAAATAAGAAAATGATTGAAAGAATATAGCAACATTTATTTCGGACAACATTTCTCTGGTTACATAATCCACAACACACCTTGGGACTGCTTCTGTGGTAAAGGTTGCTTCTGTCTATATTAAATGTGTAATTTTTCAAATGCTGGTAGCAAAAGTCTAGGTAGCGTATCAAATACAACTAAAGTTATCTGAATCACTGAACACCTAGAGGTATGTTTTTTTGATGAACGGACCCTTTCAGATGTTAATCCCTTTGCCACCACCAAATAGGGGTGAAAAGAGAGCGTTATTGGACAAGCGCTTGCAGCACTCCCGCATAAATATTAATGTTACTCAGGGCGCTCTGCCTTTCTGCTGAGGACTTAAAAGAGGTCTGTTATAAATTGGGAATGTGTGAGTGTATGCAAGGTTCATGGAGCAAATACCACAGCCGTGTGTCTTCTACGAGGAAATACAGACATCTGCTCCTGAGCAGTGACAGCGGGAACAGCTGGACAGGAAGTCATGGTGCTAAGCTCCCTGCTCTCTATCACACACACACACACACACACACACACACACACACACACACACACACACACACACACACACACACACACACACACACACACACACACACACACACACACACACACACACACACACACACACACACACACACACACACACACACACACACACACACACACACACACACACACACACACACACACACACACACACACACACACACACACACACACACACACACTGTGGTAATGCTCTACATTTGATCTCCTTTGATGCCTATGTTTTTATCTGGGAACAATAGTGAGTGGTTAGGTTTAATTCACAATAACATTTCTGTCAGTTCCCATGGGTTTATATTATGATTCTATTTTAATCTGTCTTGATCCAACTCAATTTACCTGCAGTAATTATGTTATGTGTAATTCTAACTGGAACACATGTTTTATTCGACCTTGCAGAACTGGGTCATTATAATCTTTTCTTTCACGTAATTGTGACATTTTGATATTCAGTTTCCTTTTATCAAACAAAAGCCCACTCCAAAGCAAAAAGACACATCCATTCTGAAGTGCAGTGGGGAGACAAAAGTATTTCCTGTTTCCCTCTCCTCTCTTCCCGTCCTGTCGCATTCCTGAGGCTGGGGGCCCCTTTGGTGACACAAGGGAGGAAGAGGATCAGCACTTTCTTCCCACTTAAGGCCGTCTGGTGTCAAAACACACTGCACTCTTAAATCAGCCAGCAATATCTTTAACCACATGGCATTTCCTTTGTTGCAGCTGAGAGTTTGTAATTATCCAGGGCTAAGAAACAGACCAAGAGTCTACAGTAATGTTGGCAAGCTCTGTTACACTGAAGTCAGCTGTGCTTTGAGCTTAATGCTAACATCAACCTGCTAACATACTCACACAGTGGCAACGCTAAATATGAATTCGAGACAGGTATGAGGTTAGCATGCAAACACAAGAAGCAATAAATACACAGCTGTGAGGCTGATGGGGATATCATTAGTGTTTAACAGCCACCGAAGGTATTACAATTCATACTGAGGGGAAAAAGAATGTCTGAACTAAATGTCATTGTAATGCATCCAGTATTTGCTGAGATATTTCACTCAAAAGCACAAATGATAGCGTGATAGCGCTAGTGGACATGTCAGGGATCACCAGAATGTATTGTTAGGGGACCATGAATATCTGTAAAAATGTCATGGCAATCCATCTGTTTTTGAGATACTTGTCATTGCTATCCCCTGAGCATTGCCACTAGCATAGTGGCTACACCCCAAAACTGTGTTACCACCGATACAATAAGAAACAATATGATATGATATATTCAATTATCCCTGTGACATTTCATATACAAATGTATTTCAATTAGCAGTCTAATTCCTTGATTTATAGGCTTCGTATTATCCCTAATGTAAGTGACAATCTTGTTAATTAGCTTTCTGTATGTATTGTGAGGAGGTGACAAGGTAAATGTAAGCAGCAGTCAGGTGGAACTGTTGACGGTCTGTCTAACAAACTGAATGCTCTGATTGTTCATTGCTGCTGCTCTACCAATCTGTAAATAGAGCACAACATATCAGATGGCTTTATTTTGGAGCCATGTGAACAAGCCCTGTCTTTCAGTGGTGATACCCTCCCTTCCTCCCTCCTCCTCTCCAGGATTCAGGTATTAATTAGAGAACAAGCTCTTCATTCAGACCTCCAGCTGAGGGGAATGTGTTAGCTGGCAAAACACTGCCTCCCTTTTTTTTGTATTTTGTTCCACCTACTGCAAACAAATAACAGTTTGCTGAGGCCAAAACACAAACCAGCCAACGGCCCAGCAGCAAGTGCATGTGACTGACCGCTAGCGAGGCCATACAAAATGGCAAACTCGTGATTGGTGTCCTCAATATGTCCCAGACTGTAGGCATAGATTAGCTTCTATTTAAGTCTGAAACAAAAGCGGGCCAATTACAGTAAGAGGTTCATAAGAGCGGTGATGGATGTTTGAAAGAATCCCACAAGGACACAGGAGGTAATAACTCCAGACTGACCCAGGGGAGAGTCGAGTACAGATAGGGGAGGGAGGGAGGGAGGAAGGGAGGGAGAGTGTCAGGTGGATATCATGAGACTGAGGCATGCTCCTGGAACTTTTTCAACCACACGTTAGGAAGCAGTGCTCCACGGCCATGTGAAAAACAAACCTCTGTACTTTCAGTTTTTTCCCTTTCCTCTCCTTCTTTCTCTTTCTGTATAGACTGTCATTATGGACAAAAATGAGCCTTTGAAGAAAATGATAATAAGCAGCTGGCAAAGCAGGACACAGAAAGTTTGCAGGGACAGGAAAGAACAAAACATCTGCACTGATCACATCAACAAAAGACTCGATAATCTTAAAACTCGCTGCCCTGAAGCAATCCATCTGCCACCAACAGCAGGTGTGCTTCTGGGAAATAAAGTCCAGGCTGCAGTTCTCCAAAGTATTCACTTTTTGGATCAATGGCTTTATAAAGGTCACAGCCGCCAAGAATCCAAAGGGAAAATGCCTAGCCAGGTTTACACACTCCCTGCCTTCGTTTTTACAGCACACAATGAATCCCTCTGAGAAACGCTAACAGAGTAAAGAAGGCAGACTTGAGAGGATCCCATATTCAGCCATGGGGTGGCAACTGGCTGCCTGAGTGTCATGGTTACACTGGCTGGAAGCTTCACACATGATTTGCTTTTCCCACCAGCGGGGAGAGCCTGTCCTCGACCTCTGATTTGTTTTTCACATGATATAGACCTTTGGGTTTTTGCTCAGTGTCTTCTCATGAACACAAAGAGATGTTACACTGTTGTCTTCCCCCGGATGGCCTCCTGCTATCTTAAGGCTAACAGGAGATGCCAAACATTTGCCAGTTCCTTTGGGTCTCCTCTCTGCTTTTGGCAATGATTGCTTGACTTGTGTGGAAAATAATGAGTCATCTTGTTCACTTGGCTGGCTGCGTTAAGAACCCCAAGCAGCACTTTGCCAAAATAGAAAAAATGATAAGGCCGTCATCTTTGTTTTGGGACGTTTCTTTGTTTCTGTCGGTAATTGCGGGCAGACTGAGACTCAGAGAAAGGGATGTGGGTTAAAGTTCAACTTGTAATTAAACTGCCTGCTATTTACCCCTGAACCGAGCCTCTCCCCACGCTCTGTTTATTTCCAAAGCATTCACATAGTAACATACTTATGATATTGCATACGCTGATATTGCTTCTGCCGCCGTCTTTGATTTTCTAATGAGCTCCTTGCAGTTTTCTGCGCCGCTAATTAAAGTCAAACAAAACTCCCTTTTCAGGATCCAAGGGAGAGTAATTGGAGATCGAAAAAAATGCAAGGAAGGCATTAATGTCCTTTGTAATCCATCTGTTTTGATCAAAATATCCACTAATATCTCTCTCACTCTTTTATGTCTGTATATCATCACTTGTATTCATTTATTCATACACGGATGCAAGAAAATAACCACCCGTCTCCAGACACAATAGGTGACAGGACAGCAACCTCTCGTCTGGCAGCAAGGTCAGATTCGGTCTGAAGGGCCATCCATCGACTGGCCCGGCAAAAATTAGATGACGGAGGAGTTTGTTGCAATACTCATTACCCAGAGAATCCCCCTGTGTCAGCACGGCCAAACAGCTTCGAGCTGAGGACGCTGAGCCCTTCACTTCACTGTGACAATACTGCAATACTTGCAACAACCTTGCAGCCAAGTGATGAAGACAAACTGAGTGGAAAGCTGTACAAATCTGGAAAGCACGCCAAAAACTAGACACACTTTGACTGGATCAGACTATCAAAATGTCTGAGAAGCGTCCTTGATATCACATCTTAAATCACAAGTGTTTATTGTTTCCAGCAT